AGATACGTCGTAAGCGGAGTGCTAGACTGAAAGGAATGGCTTTTTTAGTATGTAAGGGATGACAAGATGAATAGAGTAGATGTTGGTGTTTGTCTGTAGTGTAGAGGTCAGTAGATATACTCCACGTAACACCGAAATGTCTCTCTTTTTAGGAGATGAATACAGTGGTGCCAATGCGTTATGCAGTAGTGATCATTTCTGGATGGTAAACGAAGCAAAAGGCAATATACCAATTGCTGGAGTCAGCCTTAGGCGCAAGAATGATGCAGTAAATGCTGGCATATCGACCTATGGCAAATGCGGAATGTTTAAATTTTCGATAAGCGATATCCGCGTTCTGGACTGACTTAAGTCTTGTATAATTTCAGCGTAAACAGTAACTCAACAACCAGTAGTTACAATTTTTCATCTTGAACATGCATGCACACACAGTCAAACCTCTTTAACGAAGCCGAAAACTTTATATTTAACAGTTAGACTACGAACCCGAGTTTTCGCTCATTCAAAACGAGAGTGAATATAGTCTACTAAATTTTCTTGTAGACTCTCTAACGGATTGCAGCACAAAATCTACAATTTTGTATATTTGAAAGCCTAAAATTAGGAATAATTTTTAGTTTCAAGAGGATCGCACGCGTGATCGTTGTCCGTAAGTCATTATTAAAAACTGGATCATTGGATAATGCAATTCAAGAGTAGTTTTCGTCGGCTTAGCCAGCATGTTATATGAGTAATTATACCTGACGATGCTCGACAAAAATGGTAAGTCTACGTATAATGTTTTGGGGCGTTTTTACTCTTATTTAGCTTAGTTGTCTACTTTTTGCATGGAGGCGTTATTAATGAAACAATTACTCAACTCGCGCTTGTTGGATATGAGACGGTTATAGCCAACTCGGCGCTACGAGCCGAGATGGCCATCTGTTATCTCACATTTAACGCGCGCTCGTGGAATAATTGTTTTAAATTTGTAGCCACTCAGCTTTGCGATATCACAGGGATACTTCCAATGGGTTGTTTTTGCAGTATTTACGATAGTCACTGAATAACATGCCTCAAGTTAATTGAAATAAATAATAAAAGAACATAGGTGGTAAATAACCTAGGCTGGGCGATCTGGAGTGATTCCAGGGCATATTAAGTGAAGATGTAATCATGTTGATTGATTCAGAAGTCCTGATGTATTGAAATAATTAGTGTTGCTACCGAAATGTACTTATTGAGTGAATGTCAGACTGTGGTAAAATTTTATGGATTTCATATGGATAAGATCACGTTAATTTGGGTATGAAGTTTACAGAAGGATTTTGTTATTTTTAGGGAACTAGTCTAGCTTTGTGTCCTTAACTAGCCACGCCCTGATTTTAACTACATAAGTATATGAGCAAATAAAAACAATTGAAATAAAACCCTTATTGCACAAATTCCTACAGTTATCCTGCGTTATCCTAGAGGTGTCAAACGATCGGATATATGCTCCCGCAAAACAGATGAACTGAGATGGGAAGTTAACAAATGATCGACCAACCCTAATGTGCGTATACACTTCCATCCGTAACTTGCTAGAAAACCTGCGATTGCGTAGCAGTAGTCGCTGAAATAGTCGATCTATTCACAGTGTTCATTTTCAGTACTTACACATTTCATTTTAACTTTCAACTTGACCTGACAATGACCGACGTTCCGTTACGGTGGAAAGGTCGTCGATTTCCAGTTTTTAAAGAGTTTTCAATGATCATGGACAATATTTCATCGCAGATATTTATAGTTACACATTTTTAAAGAAGGAAAAAGTTTGTGTCATTTACCGGTTCATTATCAGTCTCCAGAGATTCAACTGGCTCATTATCAGTCTCCAGAGATTCAACTTTATTTCATGTAAAAGTATAAGGAAAACACCATCACTTGTTGTTGAAACATATGATTCAATTTGTTTAATCTCATCTTAGTGAAAGCAATGGCAATCTATTCATTTAGTTTTGAAAACATTGAACATTCTCTATGATAACCTCATTTTTTAGAATTGTTTTCACTGGTTTGTTTGGAGTAGTCAGCTCTTGAGATCTCCTAGTGTGAGAGCGGAACTGTTTGAATCAGATCTTCGTCTGTGGCCTCTTTCTGATGCTGGCGCCTGTGTTTCATCACAAGCAGAAAACACAGCTTTCCGTTCTCTTTTCTCACGACAACGCTCGCGGGAAGACCCCCGCGTGTACCCTCGGGGCGGATCCTCTTGATCAGACAGCAAAGGCAGACACCTGAAGGCAGCAGTGTAGGCTTGGAGCGCTTGCGCGTGGAAGCGCATTTCAGCGAGCAGGAAATCACCTAGTATGCGATTCAAGTCTTGCTGTTTCTGCTCCTCAAAATGTTCCATTCTTACCTTGATATCTTCACAACAGCGCTCAGCATGACAGCGTGCCTGTTCAAACTTGATGTTTGCATCGTTGATCCTCCTCGGGACGACAGGCGTCCAGTTTTTTGCCTTTTCCAGTTGAGAAAGCCGATGATTCTTTCTGCGCACGGCGTCTTCGCACGCTTTAACGCATTTCCTCATTTCTTTGCATTTCCCTTCGTAAGCTAAGATATCACTTGATATTTTCTCTTGAAGAATATCTTTCAACGTTTTCCGTTGTTCTTGGACAACAGACAGATGCTTGGTGTAGTTCAATAAATTACTTTTAACAGTAGGATTGCTCTCCAGGTCCAACGTACAGACGCCAATTGTGGAAGAAAATTTTTCACCTTTCTGGGCTAGTTTCTCCATGATCGTGGCGTATTTCTCAGCACGGCAACGCATGGCAGTAAAATGTTTCTCCGTGTCTTCAATGCGTTTCGTGTACTGGACCATTTCAGGAACCTTTTCTACCCGCAGAGTCCGTCTCAATACCTCAGTCACATTCGCTGCCATTGTCGTCAATAGAATTTACAACTTGTGCTAGCAGTAATAAATTCAACACTTGTGTTGGATATCAGTTGTCTATGACATCAATTGAGGTAGCGCGCGCTGATTACACTGGATGGTTTCCAAGTCTTGTAGATCTATAGAAAATTAAAACGCAATCCGAAACTTCCTCGCGTTTCAGCATTTATTAGCTTGCAGGTGGTGACAGTTAAATTAACAAGCGTTGTTTTGAACGGGAACCGTTTTGAAAAATCGAGGAGCGGGTTACTTCCCGGTAAAAGCTTCTGAAAACGTCGAGAATTTTACAACGGAGGTGTCCATATCATAGAGCTAGAAGTTATATCATAGTTTTCCATTAAAACCAAGTAAGTTGTCCGTAATGTTACAGGACACTCTTACTGTAATAATGAGGTGTCCGAAATTTGAATCAGTAGAAGGCAAGGTAGTACTAACAAAATAGATCAGCGCATATGTTTGGTGGTAAATGAATTTCGCAATGCAGAAAACGTAATTTTTTTAGAATTTTTTTCTCGACTTTTCTTTCGCGACGTTTTAACGACCGGTATATAAAGCGGCTCATGGGGTTCAGAGCCACCTAAAAGTTTTGAAAATTTAAGGTGGCTCTGAACCCTGTGTACATAATTCTTTTAAACTTTGCCAAAACTTGCGTCTTACAGTATCCTGCTTATCAAAATATGAAATATAAAACAACTTCACCGTGCCGTTTTTAAATTATAAGCCCTTAAAGCTATAATTAAGGGCATTCTTAGCAAGTCATAGTGTTGTTATGGTAACCTATTGTGTCACGAAATGACAATGTGTTTACCAATGATTGGGTTTTTGTTACCAAGATTGTGGCATCAACTGATAAGGAGTGGTTATAATCTAAGCCTTGCAAAGTGCTGGAAACTATTTTGAGCCACCTTAATTGCGCCCTCGTCAACTATCACGCGATAGACATCTCGAGCTCATGATCTAATTGTTTTAGTATAAATATACTAGTCGTTCAAAACTTTATCTAAATCCTCTTCACAGACACTTCGAAAACGCCAAGAAGCGGCCGTCATTTCGTTAACAAGTGCACACTGCTACGCTACTCATATGCATTATCCAAAACAGAATAGATAATGGGTAGCGTAGCCAATCAGAAAACGGGATTCGAGATAGACCGCTGGTAGATTTATACTAAAACTCGATAGAAACACAGAACTAGCAAGAGCCGTTGATGTAATTACGGCGGAAGCAAAGAGAATTTCACGATGATCAAAGTAAACAAGTTGTTTTCTTTTTTGTCGACGAAATTTCTAAAAGAAAGAGAATTTCTATCGAGTTACAGAAACACTCGTTAATGTTTGGGAGAACTTTGAAAAGCTGTGGAAACGCTCTCCTATTAAAATATATTTCTTTGAACGGGTACGGCTTTCTTCAAGGCAAAATTTTTCATTTCGAAATATTCATTTTCTAATTTTAATCCAAAAGCTAGGAACTAACTTCATTGCACATGCAGCCCGTGAATCCATTTGGACTACCAATATTTGAGTCAAGAAGTAATCCGACAGGTACTAAGCTAACTTGGAGATCATTTGAATTTATTATAATGTTAACAGTTTTGGCAACATAAATGTGCCTGTTTATTGTAACATTGTCAAATGCCTGTAATACATTGTTACTTGTAGATTTACAGGATTGATATAAAAAAAGTTCAACACAATTATATTTAGCACAGCTGTTTGTACAAATAAATACCATGATGAATAACCTTGTTTTGCTTTGTAATGTGTGGTGTCAAGCTCTGTACATGATGTACAATAATTGTAAAATTTTTTTAGAAGATTGGCAGAACCCATTAGAATTTTTAGAGATGATCATCAAACCTCTTTAAAAGGAAAATACACGGCTATGTCACCATTGAAAGAAAGCAAAATGTATCATTCTTTGTCATGACATCAAAATGTCTTTCACCAAATAAAAGATAGTACAATCACTAAACTATGTGCATGTACCACCAGTCCTGATACGTAAATTAACACATTTATGCGCAAATAATTCAAAGAAGGAAAGTGCACTGAATCCTGCAAAGGGCCTGCTTGCAGGTTGAAGTACAAGGGCTGACTTCCACATAAATAACAGGGATGTGTGCAAGAAAATCCCCCCCCCCCACCCCCAACAAAAAACCTACATATTAGTATCACCTTTTGAATGTGTGACATTGGATAAACATGAAATGTAGTCCTAATAGAAAGGACAATATTCTACACTCTACAAAACAAAATCCCATTTCCCAACACACAAAGGTGCAGCAGCATCTAGGCAATGCCAAACTAAACACCATAAGCAGCACCAAGACATAATTTTTGGCCCCAAAGGTATTGAGGAGAAGCACTGCACCAATGATCACATGAAGGGACGACCATGGTAAAATGTCTCAAGGAAACTACTAATGTCTCTTGTTGTAAAACTTCCATTAAAACTGAAAATAGTCACTTTTTGAAACTAACTACTCTAGAAAGAACTTATTTAGGTCTCTACACACTGAACTAGTAATACATGGCTCACAGGACCAAACAAAATTAGTGTGGACCTTAGAGCAAAATATTCTCCATTTGTTTATGTAATGTCGCCTCTAGTAGCAGTGGTTTTTAACAGTAAATTTTACTCATTATGATAACTAAGATTATGCCTGAAGCTTGGCTCATTCAGAGTGAAAGGTGAGTCCCTTAACCATGAGTGTGCTGTCAATTGTGTTACATGATAGGAATATAAGATATTACTGTAAATACTTCAGAACAGTAAGTTGTCAGATGCTGCCAGATTTTTTGCTCAAAAAACTTACAATTCTGGCATTTTGGCCTTTGTCTGTACAAAGATGCCTGATTCATTACAAACCAATTAGGTAATGTTTTGGATTAAACATCTTATTCCAGGCAATTTTTTTTGAAACTTCATGTAGAGTATAATCTGAATTACTGTTATAAAATTATAGCATAGCATGTTTTGAACTTCTTAGAACTCTAATTGCAACAGTAATGCTTGCAAAAATCTTATAGGTATGATTTTCACACTTGACAACATTTATGACAATAATTTAGGTTATGCAAAGCAATCTGTTAAAAGTTTGTTCTTATTATGTTAAATAAGTTAAACTAGCATATACAGGTAACAGCCAGTTAGAGTGAAGTGACAAATTCACTGGCACAGCACGGAACAGTGACAGATACCAAGGTAACAATTTTCCATGGCAATTCCATGTCCATATTGTAGTAATCAAGAAGATCTATAACAAATCTTGAAATTTAAAAAGTCTTTTGAGAACTTCTTTTGAGTGAAAATGTCGTTAGCGCTTTCTATAAGTTTTATAAACTACAGGAGACACTATGAAGGAAGTGATAAAAGCTCATGTAACTAATGTGCAAATGACATAGGTATCCAATTACAAAAAGTGGTAATTGGATGCCTGTAATTGGACACCCAAATGATCGCGTGGCAATTACATGACGAATAGGTGTGCAGAGAACCAATCACGATATAGAAACGTTTAGCCTGAATATCAGCCAGGTTGGCTTGAATAGCCTCGGATTAGTTAGCCTGTATGTGATTAGTTCTTGATAATGGAAATGGAAATTCAATATTAGTTTAGAAATCTGTAGCCTGCGTTGCAACCAGACGTGTCATAAAATCCCCGATGTAGTCAGTACCTGCGGTTTAGACTGTCTGCAACGCAGGCTAATAATCTGCAGTCTGCACAATACACCGTGTTTGACCCTGGCTAAAGTGATTGTTAATTCAGTTTTTAAAAACGAAGGATGTAAACAAGCTCCCCAATTATTTAATTGTGAAATTTCACGTTTGACTGAGCATAAATCTTCCTCCGTCATTTATCGATGGCATCAACATCTTTTTGTGGTTAAACACTAAAGAATGACAGCCCATTTTGTTTGCAATTTCACCTGGTTTTTACCGGCCAACATATTCAGTTTACTCAGCAAAATTTAACCACAAGTACCATGAAGACCACGAGGTATCGTTAGCCAGTTGGCGATGGAATTTCTAATGACGCTGACGCAGTTACTCTCAGTTCCTCATTTCTATCGTGATTATCCATGTCCTCAAAAAGCGACTCTCTCTTGTTGAACTCGTACAACTTTTCCACTCCAAGATTTGATCCTTCCAAAATGGATTCGACGACGTGATCTGGAACAACTCGATTTTTTCGTAGTTTAGCTCTTTCAAGAACTGTATCAAGTGGAACTCGAGGAAGGCGTTTCACACGAACATGATAACCAACTGATTTTAAGCGATGCATGTAGTCTATGAGCTCAAGATACTTGACACAAGTTCCCTCAGCCACAAAGCTAATTTTCTGTTCCAAGATCCAGTCAGTAAGATCAATCGCAATATTACGTGCAAGAGGATAGTATTCCTCCACTTTGTTTGATTCAAAACCTTTCAACATTCCCATAATCTCGTCTGTGTCGACGTACGCGTAATTTCCGAACACAGGATGGGTCTTAAATTCGTGGTTAATAACAGTAGTTTTCCCTGCTCCCATAGGGCCAAGAACGAAAATCGCATCACATCGATATTTTGTGTCCATAAACTTTCGTTTCCACTTACTTTCTACTAGTTTCGTTTCTTGGGCATTGAGGAAGGAGTTGGAAATTGTTCCCTCGTTCGACACCACTCCATTAACATGCTTCATATTCTTCGACATTGCGCTTGTACAAAACAATCGGGCAAATACTTTAGCTCTTCTAGGAAGCGGAAAATGAATGATACAAAGTCTGGAATGACTTTGCAATCCCATTCTACAAAGCTGTGACGCCATGTTTTTATATAATCTTTGAGTTTTCTAATGACGTCACAAGATGGCGCATGCAACCTGAACGAGCGACTGTGGGGGCGTGTAACAGGAGGTAACAGTGTTCACTGGCCCGTCACCGAATGGCGTGCACGTGAAACGCTGTTATTATTAGCAGCGTAAAACCACATTACCAATATTTGCGAAATCCAAAAATACATTTCGCAATTGACAAGAAGATTCAAGACGTAAGTCTAAACCGAACTTAGAAAACGAACAAAGTACTACTGCTGGTTTTGCCTAGTTTGCGTGCACACTGGAGAGTGGAAGATCAAAAGGAGACTCTGCTCGCAGGGTTAAGGGTCAATCGAGCACTAAGGGTGAAAACAGGAGATGTTAGCAGTCTTAGCAGGGTTCAGAGTCTAGCTTGTAGATTGTGCAAAATTCACAAGACTGAAATTAAAACTAAGCTGTTGGAAAGTCTTCACCGTGATTTCTTATACAATATTAACACTTGAGCTAATCTCTTTGGTGTTAAAGCCTACAGAGAGGAAAATAGAGGTGAGGGAAAAAAATACAACTTTATATGTAGCAACTGACTGTTTTGACCGTGGATGTGCACATATAAATCAATAAGAGCTAGTGGTGAGATCATGTAAATCTTATCTCTGGGACCATCTAAGAGAACATCATGCATGCAGAGTTGCTTTGATCTTTCCTGTTTTTTTTTCGTGGAGACTGCGAGAAAGTTCTTTTATCTTGTTTCCCGAGAATCTCAATGTTTCCTCAGCTCCCGGACTTGAGGTGGCTATAGGCAACCTCGTTTCCAGGGTCCTCTCTCTCTCTCCCAGCATTGTTTACATTTTGCCTTCTTTGCGTGGACAAGGGAACATTTTCGACATGATTGACTCCTGCAGTAAAGAGCTCATGGATCTTAGTACCTGGTGAAAGTTTGAGCTCTTTGGGAGTAATATCAAAGGAAATATTGGCTTTCCGGGTGGCAAAATCGCTAACAAACCCATACATTGTTTGTAAATGCGTGGTCCAAAAAAAGTAATATATCGGGTTCAAATGTTCCTTGGGACAATTTATCGCGCTATGACCTTTGAATATCCAAACATGATACTTTTGTAGTTCCATCAGAAACTGAATCGCTTGTCAGCGAAAAATTCCCCTATTTTGGGTACGGGATCGCCGGATCCCGTCCCGCACCTGATCCAAAAATAGATTATCCGGGAACTTCGGCCCACAGCTATCGCCGCCATGATGAACAGGAGCGGCATAATGCGCTTGGAAACTCGAAGCCGAGCTAAAGACGATGTCAAACGGGTTATGCTGTCAGTGGAGCGCGTAAGGAAATGGTAATTAACAAAACTGTACCTAATTGGACCCGGAATATTGGCATCAGTTGCAATTTTGTCATTATTCATTTTGCGAATTCATTCATTCGTTACACAAAAGATTCGTGATCGCGCGTTGGAAAAAGTCTGTTTCTTGAAGTTTCGTATTCGCGCTTTTTGGTGGACTTCACACATTATTTTTGGTGTTTTGCAGGGAAAAGAAATGGGTTAACGTAGGTCCCAGCAGTTGTACTTTGAAAGTTTTCAAGTGGGTCCCAGGTAAGCTAAGCGGTTCTTTATTTTTGTGTGATCTGTCAGACTGTTTACAGGTACACGTGCCCACTTCATGCCAATTATTGTCAAATGTTTTGAATTTGAATATCCTGACGTTAATATGTAGACCAACCTTGCTATTATGTGTTACGTAATTTGCCGGTGTCACGGTTTCATCTGCTGTCAGATTATGAATCAATCGCACTCCCTGATTGGCTTAAGGCAACGGCACAAAAATGATTAGATTTGTGATCATGTGTTCTATCTGCATCCTCACCTGTCATTAGGATGGTTGGATTCTGGACCATTAACGCTCATCAACTGTGTCAAAAAAATGTCCCCAGAGCCAAAGTTTCATTTTAGTACCTTGCCAAAGAAAATAT